TGTCCAGGCAGGCAGTATTGGGCTGGAATGAACTAGTGGCCCATAAATTCTTAACTAGAGCTTGAAAAAGTGATTTTTGGACTACAAAGTTAGGTATCCCCCTAGTCAACATGTAGCTGTTGTACAAAAGTAATATTTCTCAGTCTCGAGTCAGCTTCTCATATTTGGTGTTTGCATACAGGAGACAAAGAATTCTGGGAGACATTTCCATTTGATAGCCATCTTCTAAACAAAACTGTTAGAGATCTTTCTATCTCTTTGATGAGTGCAGCAAAGCTAATTCCATGGTCAGTAAACATTGCTATTGTGATTAGCAGTATGCCACTAATCTGGAGATGGCTTGCCTATGGATAGCTGGTAAACAATCATTCTTTTTAGAAACTAAGCTGACAGAATGGAAAAGAGCTTAGAGCCCACAATTGTAAAATGAGATGCTGTTGGGATGGGATCTGCAAGAGTATTCATCCACAAGGGGAAAAAAAGAAGATTCCAGTGCCTTTTACTTGGTCAAATAGAGATTAGGGTTAGTTTGAGAGGAACAACATGCTTGCTCCCAGTCCTTCAGGTCACATGTTGCCTTATCAGATGCTCCTGCCAATGTTCAAGTGAAAATTATTGGGCTGTAAAATGACACAACATCTTTGTACCATTTATTCTATGAGAGTAGACAAGCAGGCTTCTAAGGTGTGGCCAGCTGTGTACCATTGTGTAACTGTTGAATATTGACTCCTCTATCTTGAATCCTTCCAGGGTTGAGAAAATAATTATGCAAGATGTCTTCCTGTCTTGCTCCATGGATCGTTCATGAAGCAGTGATTCATTATGACTCCAAGTCTCTGAAAACAGCATGATTAAGAAACTGCTGAAGAAAAAGACTTTTCAGCCTTTGGCTGGCAAAGTGCCTCTTGGTTTGCATGCAATTTATAACAGGCAGAAGCCAAATAGAAATACAAAGGAAGGCATTTTTATTGGTATCCCGATAGGGCAAAATTACTTGAGACTCTGATTAGGCCTGTGGGCCCTTTTTCCTGACAGAAGTGCCTTGTATCTAATATTTGTTCAATGGGCAGCAATTAGATGCAGGATTTCCTGCAGCAAGTGCGAAGTTGCATCTGTTGAACTATTGCCTATTGGACCTTGGCCTCTAAACTATTTAGAAAAAGGTGGCAAGCGTAATCCTGACCAGAAAGTCCTCCATTCCAATAATGCCACTCATGAGTTCACTAGGTGGTCTTAGGCACTTTCACAATACAATACTCCCAGCCTCCTCCCCTCCCTTTAGGGCTAATTGATGGTAGTTATACACATTTGTTGCTGTTGTTGTATGCCTTCAAATTGTTTCTGACTTATGGTGTCTCTAAGGTAAACATATCACACCCAGTAGCTTTCCATGGCTGAGGAGGGATTTGACCCCTGGTCTCCAGAGTTGTAGTCCAACAATCAAACCATTGCACTACACTGGCTCTCAGTTGTACAATATTTGTACATGATACATTGCAACCTCTTCAGTGTTAACTGTAATTCTTCTAGACCAGTGGTTCCTAAACTTTGGTCCTCCAGGTGTTTTGGTTTTCAACTCCCAGAAACCCTGACCAGCTTGGCCAGCAGTCAAGAATTTTGGGAGCTGAAGTCCAAAACATCTGGAAGATGCTCCTGATGGTGAATCAGGTGAATGCGACAGTCAGGAGTGCCTGTTATCAACTTCGGCTGATACACCAGCTACGCCCTTTTCTGGAAGTAAGGGACCTTGAGACTGTTGTGCATGCACTGGTAACCTCACATCTAGATTTCTGCAACACACTCTACATGGGGCTACCCTTGTGCTTGGTTCGGAAACTGCAGCTAGTACAGAATATGGTGGACAGAATAGTGTCAGGAACATCTAGGAGGGACCATATTACTCCAGTTTTTAGGTCCCTCCACTGGCTGCCCATAAGTTTCCGGGCTCAGTACAAGGTGTTGGTTATTACCTTTAAAGCCCTAAATGGCTTGGGACCAAACTATCTCTGGGACCACCTTCTCCCTTACACTCCTCCCTGCGCATGCCGGTCCTCTGGGAGGAATTTGTTGCAGCCACAAAGATCTAGGCTCTCGACTACCTCCCAGAGGGCTTTCTCTGTTGTTGCCCCCAGATTATGGAATGGCCTGCCAGACGAGATCCACCAATTGACATCTTTAGATAGCTTTAAGAAAGCTGTCAAGACGGATCTCTTCCGGCAAGCCTTTCCAGGATAGATTATCCCGGCCTCAAGAATTCTTTTCGGAGAGTCCCCCTAGAGTCTCCTCTAACGTGGTATAATGTTTTCTTTTTCTTTTTTCTCTTTGTTATTATTACTGTTGCAGCTAATTGCTGCAGTCCTATTTTGTTTGGTTTTTAACTTCTATTTGATTTAATATTCTTTTAAGGGAGGGTTAGGGATAGGGTTGGGATGTATTGTACTTTTAACTTTGTTAGCCGCCCCAATTGATCTCAGAGGGGCGGGGTATAAATTATTATTATTATTATTATTATTATTATTATTATTATTATTATTAAGACCAAAGTTAGGGAACCACTGTTCTAGACCAAGAGTGCACAACCTATGGTCCAGGGACTTCATGTGGCCCCCATAATCCTTAAATGTGCTTCTCCATGCATTATCTTGCTCCCATCTCTGTTGCTGAAAACCTCTTCTGACCCCTTTCCTTGGTGGTAGTAAGGAAAACCTATTAGTCAGGATCAAGATCTATGGAAGAGGAAATGGGGAGCTTTCTCACCACCACCACCATGTCCACCTTCATTACTGTCTCTCCACTCACACAGATGGCTTATTGGCTGCCAAGATGGGCATGGAAAGTTGGGCAGAGGAAGGCAGTTGCTAAAGTTGCCCCACTCTACACCTGGAATGGCCCCATCCTCACCATGTTGCCGCTTGTGTCACCGATGACGTGCAGATGATTGACATGCATTTTGAAGCAGCACAAACTAGTGAGAATGACAATTGTACCAAAAAAGAAGCAATTGCAAAGGAATAATGAAAAGATCTGCTTTCATAGTGGGAATGAAGGACCTTTTGGAATCAATTCACCGACACGGAGCAAAGGCGAATTGCAAACCGGTTTAAATGTAAGTGGGAATGAGCCCTCTGTTTCAGCAGTCACCATGATATACAGTGGGCCTTTTTTATCCACTGAGGTTTGGTTATCCATGGATAACAAAATCCGTAGATGCTCAAGTCCCATGAAATATAATGGCATAGCAAAATGTTATCCCTTATTTAAAATGGAAAATTGCGGTTGGAATTTATACTTTTTTTGAACATTTTCAAACCATGGATGTTTGAATCCGTGAATAAAAAAAAATCTGTGGATAAGGAGGGCCGACTGTATACAAGTGTGTGGCTCCCAACCCATATGTAAAACTTAGAAAAGTGGCTTTTTTAGGTAGTCATAACATCTGGAGTCTGACCAAATAGACTAACAACCCTTGCTCCTAGGTCATTGCCACAGGGCTGAGAAGGTTGTTGTACCCCTTAGTTTGACCACAAGCTGTTACCTAGGAATTTGCCCTAAATTTCAGAAATAATTTCTGGCAGAGGTTGGTGGGATCCTCAGTAATGTAAGATTTTTCTTTACTGGGCCATCATGAATGGTCTGTTTAAAGTATGTACAATGTTCCCCATCAGCAGTTTTAGAAGGAAAATTGATTTAATGCTCATCACTCTTTTCATTATAAATGTCTCATTGCCACCAGTCAATTTTTGCCTGTGTGCAAAAAAAAACCAAGCAATCCTGGAATAACAAAAATAGTGCATTGGCAAATGTGGGAGAGGAGAAATATGGCAGGATAGCTTTGATAAACATCTTTAGTTGTATGAAACCAGCCATTTGGCTTTACGGCACCACTACAGTGCCCTTGCACTTTAAAGAAACCTCTTTTCTAGGATGATCTACCCGGTGATCTTCTAGCTCCCTGTTTCCTTTAGCTACTGCTGATGTTTTTTTTTTTCTCAGCTTATGTTTTGCTTTTATAAGTCTTATGTTAAATGATGATTAACCTAAGTTAAAGGTCAACTAATTTAGCCTTGATTCAATTACTGCTCATACAGAGACTCAAAGAAAATTGGCCTTTAGTGCAGGATGGTGTTGGTGAAAGCTCTTCGGATGAAAAATGCTAATAATAGTCCTTTAATCAAGTTACCTTGATGGTATCATTTGAATCTTAATTATATAAACATCTCAAAGCACATGTTGCTTTTCTTTCTGTAGACCAGCTGCCATTCTGAAGATGATGCCTGTTGGATTACAGGAGCATACAGAAGAAGACTGAAGAAGACAAAAGAAGTTGGTGAAGTACTTGTGGAGCAGTCCAGCCGGAGGCATAGCGACAGTACCTGCTCTCTCAGTGGTGTCACTAGGATTGGCATAAGCCGGTTTGGTAACTCCTGGTGTCACTGCCCCATTAATCTCCTCCCATACTACACCAGAATCCTGAGTAATGTTGTTTGTACTAATGAAACTCATAAATCATAATTCCTACTGAATGTAATGGTAATAGTTGTGACATAGAACAATTAGCAAAATTAAAATTAGACCTTTAAATTACAATATCATATGCACAGCCTAAATATATTTACCTGTACATGTGGTTAAAATGAAATTTTGGTAAATGTGATGTTTTAAAAGAAAATTTAAACATTATAAAATGTTTTTTTTAAAAAAAATATTTTTTTTAAAAAATGGGACCTCTCTTTTCTCCTCCCACTGATCCTCACCCCACTCACACCATCTCTTCAGAATTTTAAAGGGCTGCAGGTGAATGCCACAGCCCATTTCTGCCACAAGACAGATATTTGGGGAGCAGTGGTGTCATCCACCTTAGGTTGTCACCTGGTGCAATCCTCACCCCCTGAACCCCCTAGTGACTCCACTGCTCTTTCTTACTGTTCAAGCCCATTGTGCAATCTCCAAGCCAACGACTGGCAACCTCGAGCAGAAAAATATGATATATAAAGATAATGCCAGTGAATATAAGTTACTTATATATTCTCTTTAGCTTCCAGAAGATTGGCCATTTTCCCAAAACAAATACTTCAATATCAGCACAGACCTTTAAGGAGTAAACTAAACACTGCACAAAATACAAGAGGGCCACAAGAGGTCTCATGTTGGGCTCTAACACACACACACACAGACCAAATTTAACATCTAGTAGAACTTTCCTTTGTCATTGTGAAACAACTTCAGTGTGGCTGAAGAAACATGGAAGGTTATGCTACCAGGATGTAGACATTCTGCTAGACATTACGAAGGGAAAGGGTGGGGGTGGGGAATGAGAAAGAGAAAGACTGGCTCGGAGGCAGCTGCCATTCAGTGTAACATCTCATTTATCCCTACGTTCCAGGTTTATGTCATGGATTTGCTAAATTAAGGTTGTTACACAGATTGCTTTTCTACGTAGCTTGCTTTAGCACCTACACATTTACCAGCTGTTGCTAATTCCATCCCATTTCCCTTTACAGAAGCAATTAGCTCACCAATAAGGGATGATCACCAGGCATATTTCTATTTGTTCATATGGCAGTACCTTCTTCCCTTTCCCTCTGCTCCAAGAGGCTCAGTGATCATTTTGTTGGGTGCCCATCAGCAAATACGTTAACGAATCCCTTGGGGAAAGTGGTGGGTTTTAGAAGAGAAGCATATAATAAATGTACTACTAAATTTGTACTGGCAATGTTGTGTGGCAAGAATTGTTTTCAGCTATATCACAATGACTTCACTGCCAACTGAAAAACAATCCATATGCATAACAGGGCAAGCAGACAATTGCTTGGTCAAAGGCCATGCAGCCAGGAGCAATTTATTCTAAACTCAAATGTCCAACTAATTGGGGTTGCAGACTGCCAGAAATAGTGAAAATTGAGTCCACTTTAAGGGTTAGGGTTAGTGCTAGGGAATCATGGGAATTTTTTCCCCCGAGACATTGAGCCTTCTCTGTCAGAGAGCTCTGGTGCCACAATAAACTACAGCTCCCATGATTCGCTAACCTTAACCCTAAAAGTGGACTCAATTTGCACTATTTCTGGCAGTCTGCAACCCTCCTAAGACCACTCTGGAGTTGTGGGGAATTGGTTGCTACTTTAGCTCTCTGAAGGTGCCCATGGCCTTATATGAATGGAAATGCATGAGGGAAGAGCAGGGATGCATTTGCTGGACCTGCCTTTTCCCTTGTCTCCTGTCCCATCCCTCTCCAGGTGGGCAAAAATCTTCAGCAGGGAACCTGCTGTATTCATGGTCTATCCCTACCCCTAATGATGTAGCATGGACACAGTGGCAGTTCATAGTTTCCATGTTAGTGGGGCATCGATTCCATTTCAGATTGCAGTCCATATTTTAAAGGAATTATCAATGTATGGATCTAAATTTGGGATAGCACTCTGAATAGTTACTTTAAAATTCTGAATAAAACCAAGACTGATTTCAT